CGACCAGACGGCTCCACCAGGAGCAGTGTAACTCTGCAAGTTGTTGTAGATGTTCACCTACGATGGCATATTAGTACCGCATAAGGGGTCGATGTCTACAATTGATACGCACCGTGATACCAGGGTCAGACCCCTTGTAAGCTCCCGGAAGGGCGATAGTTGGCGGCTTCGCGTTCCCACCACCCGTGATCGTTACTTGAGCGCACCCTTTGTACAAAGGTATCAGTTTCCGGTGTGAAGATTTCGGAATGAAATAATGGACTATTTACCGATATAGAACTGTGCTCCGGGGTAGGTCTCAGCGACGTGTAGTGCAATCTGCCAGAGAAATATGCCTTAGCATATGTGGTCGGTACGGAATGAATTAATACGCACGATCTCTCCTCGAATGAGATAATCTCCAGAAGGAAGGGACGGTGGGATGATAACACTGTGTTTGCCTACAAAACATATCGTTGTAAGTCGTGAATATCTGTGACGCTGAATTTTTTTTACCGTTATTAGCGTTAACGACATCACTCGCCCATTCTTGTGTCGCAGGGTCCACGAGACCAGACGAGTAAATCTTAGTCCATACTGATCCTTGTCCGTTGAAGGACGAGGCTGAACCCACAGGGCCCGCAGGGGCAATATAGACTTGCACCGGTCCCTTGTGTCCCCCGGAGATGGCAGGTTCACCTGTTCGCTGGGCGTGCTGGTGCCACTCAAGTCTATGAACAAATAAACCGTGTGTTCAATACCGAAAGAGATGGAATCGCACATACGTGATGTTTGTACCTGCGGCAATAGTTGCAGTTGCAACACCCGCGCCAGAAAGTCCAGTTCACGTTGCAAGTGAGGTCGGTGGACGTCACGTCCGTCACTGGGTTGTTGCTTGGAGGAACGCGCAGATGAATTGTTCAGGCCTTGGTCAACCTGAGCAAAGATCAATTCCGCTGGCATGGAAAAAATATGGAACGAAATGCTACGTACGCCGTTGATCCACATATACTGCATGGTAACTATTCGAGCGTCGTCAATAATTGAATGACCTTCAAGGTGATGAGCACTCACAGTGGGCATTGGCGACCGCCGCTGTGGTAAGGATGGATAATACGACCTTCATACTGAGCATGTATGCACAACTAGGGAAATCGACACGATGCCGGTGTCCTTTAAATATCGTCCATAAAAAAGTCCAGCTGGAGAGGTCATCCTACTCGAGGCAATAGAACCTTTGTCACGCAAGCCGAAGTTGAGGCGCCATGACGATTAATTTTCCGAAGATGGGCTACCAGTACCTGTCAATCCGGAAAGGTTGTGGTAATTTTAGCGTTAAGAGGGGCATAGCGGATCAAACTTATGAGCCATTAATCAAGCGAATCCATTCATAGTTCAAGTCACATTGAGACTTAACCACCGAAAATCAAGCGCACATCATGCGAAGCGGAACATTGTGGATCGTTTGCCGTGATTAATAGGCTCTTTAATGCCAGCAATGACGCTCCGAAATGTATTCGAGAGTTGTTTTGGGGGTCAGAGGTTCACCCCAGTAGAATGCGTTAACGTCCCTGGGAAGACAAAGAGTTTGATACCACAAGTCGCAGTAGGCACCAGCTCTCACCTCGCTACATCCTCACGTCCGCCGGAATGCCCCTAGGCTGCCAATCAAATACCAAATATCAATTCATACACAAGTAGTACAATTTCGACTGTGTTAAACGATACAGTATAAGCATTTACTTACAATTACAACTTCACCTTATTTGCTTCTTAGACCAGGTTCGAAGGATACTTGAAATCTTCCAACCCGACGAAGTTCTCCTTGATACTCCTTGCACTGATGAAGCGATAGAAGATACTAATACTTCCCGCCTTATCGTTCGTCCCACTAGCACGAGCACCACCGAATGGCTGCTGCCCGACAACAGCCCCAGTGCATTTTTCGTTGTAGTACACGTTACCGGCAGCATTGCGGAGCTTGTTATCGGCTTTGATCAGGGCTTTGCGGTCAGAGGCGAATCTAGGAAGAAAGAAGACCATCGGCATGACTTCGCTTTTGTCTTGGCTGATGAGAACTCACATGGACCCTGTGAGACCGTATTCGGTAGTCTCATCGATGAGATCAAGCGTTTTCTCAAAGTCGGCATCCTCAAACACGAAGACCTTGGAGGGACATCAGAGGGTATCCGATAACGTGGAGCAGATACGCACAGTCAAGACGGGGCCAAATATCTCCTCGACGAGAGTAACGGACGTGGGGTCTTTGCTTAGGATCACAGTTGGCTGCACGAAATAGCCCTTGGAGTCATCGCCTACATCGATGATTGATGAATGTATGCATGTGAACTAATCGCGTGTACGAACCACTACCACCGATGAGAATCTCACCACCAGCTTCCTTGGCCTTTTTGATGTATCCTGTGATCTTGTCATAGGCAGGCCGACCGCTGCATGTATTCTCTCAGTATCGTTATTCTCAGCAGGCGAGAAAAACGTACATGACGGGACCCAAGAAGTTACTCCAATCGAGCTGGCTTCCAACGCGGATCTTGGCAACTTCTTCCAGTAGCAGATCTTTGAACCCGTTCTTCCATACCGATGAAGAGACATAAAGTCGGGACAGCGCAGAGCATTTTTGGCCTAATTAACACCTTCGTGAGCTCCACAACTCGACGAACGAGGAACCGAAACAAACCCGAATACTCGAACGCGCCTCTGATAGTTTGCAAGACAGCGTTCGTTATCTCTGCCGACTCGTGGACGAGGTGGAAGTTTTTGCCTCCCGTCTCACCGACGATCCGCGGGTAGCCCTTGTACACATCCAGATTAGCAGCTGATATCTTTCCAGAGCTTCTTGAAGATGAAGGTGCTGCCCGGTGAAGTGGAGACCAGCGAAGCTCCTGTGCTTGAGAATCCTGGGCACAAACTTCTGGCTGGAGGACCAGGAACGAACTGGATGACACCAGGTGGAACACCTGCCTCCGAGAAGATTTGATGCACGATGTAGTTGGAGTAAGTAGCAGCAGGTGAAGGTTTCCAGACGACTACGTTTCCGACGAGGACGGGAGCTAGGGTGGAATCGTGAAGCTCAACGCGTCCTTCGAGAATAAGAAGACGCACCACCGGTAAGGTTACCACCAATAGCAGTAAAGTTGAATGGAGTGACAGCAAACACGAAGCCTTCCAAAGCCCGATACTCAATACGGCTAGAGAGGCGGGGTGTAAATGGTAGAAGTAGATTGTCTCACACCGAGCAGGACTCACTTCCAAGCACCAGGCGAGTTCTTCGGAGGCTGCTGAGCGTACAGCTCGCTCACATACTTGACTCCAAATCGCAGGAAATCTGTCAGCTAAAATCAAAACGGGATCAGTGAAAAAAAAAGGTTGAGCTTGAATATAGACGTACCTCTGCTGCAGCGTCGATCTCAGCCTGCCATGGGTTCTTTCCTTGTCCAAGCATAGTAGCAGCCATCAGCTTGTATCTGTACTTCCCACTGACGAGATCGGCCGCCTTGAGGAAGATAGCAGCACGGTCGGCCCATGGCATGCTCTCCCACTCAGCTTTAGCCGCGAGTGCTCCGTCAATGGCGCTTGCTACCGTCTCAGGATCCGCTTCATGATATGTGCAGAGATGATTGGCATGGTCGTGAGGTAGAGGTTGCTTTGCTAGCTTCCCAGTTTTAACCTAGACGAATATCAGCACCAATCATGAGACACCCACTGCGAATTACAGGCTTACAGGCTTTCCATTGATGATACAAGGCACCTCAAAGGGCAATTCCTGCTGCATCTGGTCAATCGCAGCCTGCAATGCATGTCGTTCTGGTGAACCGGGAGCATAAGATTTCTGAAAAATATGTCAGTGTCGCCGTCGTTGATACAATGCAAACGGGTATCCCACCATTGGCTCATTTTGAATATCCGGGATCTGGAAGGTCGCGAGTTGAGGTGAGGCCATCGTTCTGGTTGCGTGAAAATGGGAGGAAAGAAGATCAAGCACGGTAACGAGTCACGGTATAAATATAACGAGGAGGGCCGACGCGTTGAGATAGGAGATCAGCGGACCGCTGTCATCGTTTCAGCCACATATACGCCACGGCTCAGTGCTCACCGTCCGTCGAAATTTCAAAGAAAAGCAGGAAATTGAAAGTATTTACACCATAGAGAAGCGTTACCCTTACAAACCGGATCTTCTTGAAGGTCAGATGCTTATGCGCATTTCTTCCTACCATATGGTTATTCGTAACCGGGTCGTTTTCGCACTAGTATTTGACCATCCAGCGGCTCAAGTATAACACAAAAAAATTGGTATTTTATCCCGCACACTTTACCAAGAGTGGCTTGCTAACATTTTCATTACCTACTACGAGAGTAACGTAGTATGTAAATTGCTTATACAAACATCCCTTATACTGCGAACGGAAGTGCATCAATTGATTCCTTCAGCTTCAGAAGGTCCGTAAACTGAGAGAGAACCGATTCGGCACACGCGCCGCAATGGGACTGGGAAGAGTAGCACCTATACAAAAAATCCGGCCGAAAAATGACATCGGTGCTAGGTCTTTCAGCCAATTCCTTGTTCGCCACCTCTATGAACGCAGTCCACCATTTCGCCGGGTAACAATACTGGCCACACCTATATCGGTCAGGTTGAAGCGCGTCCTGCATAGCACGGGAGTGCCGACGATGTAGATCGAGCAAACGATGATAATCGTAAGCGGTTATATGTTTCAAGTCCTCGGACAACGGGCAGTCGAGGACATTCTTTTTCAATGTGTGTTTAGCTGCAATCTTGAGCTCCTCTTGCAGATCAAATCGCGCGGCAATCGCGTAAACACGTAACGGCTCATTCTCGACGTGTTCGGAGAGAACAAGCTGCTTGCGAAGGGAGTCAAGGGCAGCATCGACATCCAGTTTCTTCGCAGCCTCGAGGACGGGAACGAGTTCGTCCAAAGACGAAATGGTGGGGTTGGGAACAGGGTAGATGAACTGCAGCAACGCTAACACGACCTTCGAAGACTCTATCATATCCACGACGGGTAGGGCGCCATCGGCGGTTGTGGGTTGTGGAAGCATGAACATGTCTTTGAAGACGGGGGAAGCGGCTGACAAGATACATTTGTGTACCGCAAATCGTCTCTTCTGGTCACCTCCACCAGTGAGAACAACATCAGCATCGGGGAAATTGAAAAGAACAGATGTGTGTGACGGCATGACGTTTGTCGTTAAATAAACGGTAAACGGAAGCTCGTCGATGTACTTTTTCAGTTCGAGAAGATTCGTATACACATGAAGAACCGATTCGGCACACAAGCCGCAATGGGAGGAAGAGAAGCACCTATACAAAAAATCTGGCCGAAAAATGACATCGGTGCTAGGCCTTTCAGCCAGTTCCTTGTTCGCCGCCTCTACAAACGAAGTCCACCATCTCGCCGGGGAACAACCATAACCGTTGCACTTATATCGATCAGGTTTAAGCGTGTCCTGCATAGCACGGGAGTGGCGTCGATGCAGATCAAGCAAACGATGATAATCGTAAGCGGTAATGTGTTTCAAGTCCTCGGACAACGAGCAGTCGAGGACATTCTTCTTCAGCGTATATTTAGCTGCAACCTTGAGCTCCCTCCGGATATCAAATCGCGCAGCGATCGCATACACGCGTAAAGGCTCGTTCTCCACGTGTTCGTAGGAAACAAGCTGCATACGAAGGGAGTCGATGGCAACTTCGACGCCCAGTTGCTTCGCAGCCTCGAGGACGGGAACAAGTTCGTCCAAAGACGCAATGGTGGGGTTGGGGACGGGGTAGATGAACTGCAGCAACGCAGACACGACCCTCGAAGATCCTATCATGTTCACGACGGGTAGGTCGTCATTGACAGCTTTGGGTTGTGGCAGCGTGAACACGTTTTTGAAGATGGGGGAAGCGGCTGACAAGATACTCTTGTGTACCGCAAATCGTCTCTTCTGGTCATCTCCACCAGTGAGAACAACATCAGCATCGGAGAAATTGAATTCAAGAACAGACTGTGTGTGCGACGACATGATGGTGGTAGTAAAAGACACGATGCATGATCATCGATAGAAATCCGATAGATACCCTCGTTTCAGTCACGTGTCGTATGCATTGAACAGGCAGGAAGAAGGAAGTTGCTTTATAGATCTACAAGGCGATAAACTCGACGTCCTGCCGCCTACAACGTGAAGGGGATTGCGTCCATTTTCTGCTTTGCCAGTTCCAAGTGTGGAAGAGTGCTGTACGCACTAGCGCGACACAAATTACACGCACTGACGCAGGACGACACGAACTGCAAACTGAAGACAACATCAGTCGAAGGTCTCGCCGCCAATTCATCCTTGGCCGCCTCCTCATACTTGGTCCACCACCAAGCACTACAATGATGACCCGAAAACGCAGCTGTCTGCGGTGGCTTCAAAGCGTCTTGAGTTGCCCGAACATAGCGCCGATGGAAATCGAGCAAACGGTGATAGTCATATGCTGTGATATGCTTCAAGTCATCGGAGAGAGGACAATCAAGGACATTCTTCTTCAATGTGTACTTGGCAGCAACCTTGATTTCGTCCTGAAGGTCATATCGAGATGCGATTGCGTAGATGCGCAATGGATTTTTGGTGATATTCTTGTGGGAAATGAGCTGCTTGCGAAGCGAAGTAAGGGCGACAAGAACATCATACTTTCTGGCCGCTTCAAGCACGGGGACCAGTTTACCCAAAGACGGTAGAACAGGATTAGGAACGGGATAGATGAACTGTAAGAGCGTGTGCAGAACGTCCGCAACCTCTGTCGTGTCAATGGTGGGTAGACCAGTTATTTGGGCCATAGGGGGCTGCGGAAGTGAGAACATGTCTCTGAAGAAGGGGGACGCTGCAGATAATATACACTTGTGAACAGCAAACCGTCTTTTCTGACTGTTCGTATCCTCCGCACTGAGGATGATATCGGCATCAGTGAAATAGAATTCAAGGACAGATTGTGTGTGCGACAACATGATGGTGACGGTGGTAGCAAGGATTCAGTCAATTCATTAGTGTCGTCGTCGTCGGTCACGGTCACGATCTGAGTCGCGGTGACGTCTGTTGGGACTTTGGGACCGACGACGGTCTCTGTCCCGACTTCTGCTTCGACGTCGGCGGTGATCACTCCCACCAGATGGCACGTCGAACACCATCCCATATCCATGCCTGTCATGGCCGCCCTCACTATCGCGGTATCTCTGCGTCTTCACAAGATCATCACGCCCACCAAACCCACTGCCTCCTTTGCTGTACTTTAGACCTCGCGTGATATTGTTTGACCAAACGTTGTTTGATTTGGCCACGGATTGCGAGCTGTCAAATTATCGTTAGAATTGGTACATAAACTTAGGAAATGACGCACAAATCGACCCATATACGTCGGTCGTCGACAAGAACGTTTTGCATCTTGAAGTATGCCTATAAAGAAAGATTAATGGAGGTCATGGACAATTCGAATGTAGAAAGGGCACCTGTTCAGCATCCTCACGCTTGTCAAACTCTACAAATGCATACTGTAGCGAATCTCCCGTCTTCTTGTCTCGGATAACCTGACAACTCATAATAGTTCCGAACCGAGAAAATATCAACTCTAGATCCTCGTCTTGAGTTACGGGGTTGAGCTTGCACACGAATAACACGTTTTCCGGCGGGCGAACATTGGCAAACGGCAGGTCTCCAACCATCTCAAGAGTTAATGCTGATGCCGCAGCTGCCTTTTCACGCCTGATGCGCTCCTCCTCTTCTTCAGGTAGTTGGAATAGCGGATCCTCGTCCTCCGCGATACGGTTTGAATTATCTGGCGGTCGTGTAGGAGGAGAAGACGGCTGGACCAAGCCAGGAGGATCAGGAAACGGGTCGTCTGTGGATTAGTGAGCATAACATAGAATGAGTAGTATCATAACAAAACGCACCTAAGATAACGACGTGTCGGATTCGTACATCTTTCAACGGCCGCCCGCTCTGGTCCGTGAAAACATCATTTAGTTTATCCAAGGTATCCATTCCTTCAACAACATGGCCGAACACAGCATGTTTGCCGTCCAAGTAGTCGATGTTGTCCGAAAGCGTGACGAAGAATTGGCTGCCACAGCCCCCTTGTTCACCACCTTGAACTCCGGGAGCTACTGCCATAGATACAGTCCCTTTATGTGTATGCTTGAGCCTCGGAAGTAGTTCTGGGGTGAAATATCGAGATGCAGACGCGTTGGAAGAGGACTGTGACGCAATGAGAGACCATATTGACTCCCCTCCGGTTCCAGTTGCGGTAGGATCGCCTGCTTGTGCTAAAAAGTCCTTGGAAACTAAAAGGAGGAAAGTGTAAGGATTAGCATCGGCAAGAAATGATACACGTACCGTTGAAAAAGGCATGAAGGTTGTAGTAGTACACTTTACACAATTTGAGGAAGTTCTCGCATGTTTTCGGACATGCTTCCACTTCTAAATCAATGACCAGGTCGCCGACAGATGTCTCAAGTAAAACCGACATGCAAGTAGTCCTCGAGGGTCGACAGCGAGTGGGAGGATAGACGAAGAGGCTCTACTTCAAACAAGACCATACAACGCGCACCTTGCTTCCAAATCGGTCACCGTGACCTAACTTCGACCGTCGAGTCTCGACCTCCTATATGAGCACCCCAGTGCATTCTCCACCAACAAAGGTACTGTACATAATTCAACGCTACTTCTGAAATAAAATTAATAATTCCAGATGGTGAAACCATACTCTCTCCCCCAAGAACTAACGGATAAAATCGTCGACGCTCTGTTTAATGCCAATGACCAGGAAAGCATTCGCGCGTGTTCTCAAGTGTCACGGGCATTCTATTATCGTTCTCGATATTACATATTTCGAGAAGTCTATCTCGCATGTCATCACGACGCAGAGTCACTCTACGACTTGTGTATCAACTCCCCCGATCTGTGCAGCTGTGTAGAGAGCCTGATTTTCACAAAGATCTGGGACATGGATGCAAATAAATTCCTCCTACCGCTCATAAAGTTATTGACCAAAGTCACTTTCATCCGTATATCAGGTCTTTTATGGGGATGGTTCCCTGATGACGTCCTCGATGCGTCCGCTTCCCTTCCCCTTCTCACTGGTTCTTCTCTCAAAAACGTGTACTTCAACCGCGGAATGCGGTCATTCTACTCTTTTGCCAGCCGGCTCAGAAACCTTGTAGCCGTCACGTTTGAAGGAGGACTTATATCCTTGCGGGAGGAATCACTTGAGGTCGTTTTCCGCGAAGCGAAGCCTGTGGCTATCAAAAAAATTCACATATACTCCTCTCCTCAGTCCCAGGTCTTTATAGAGGGCCTGTTCACCTCTCCTGCTTCACCCTTCTGCCTTCGGGAACTCCAGGACGTCACCTTCGACGTCGACCCCAACACACTCGTAGCCCCAGAGCTCCTCCCTAGTTCTGGAGACCATGATTTTACCTTACTCAAACGAATAGTAGACGAATCACGGGAAAGTCTAATGACATTAGAAATCGTCTCCGTCAACTTTATTCCTCCATTCGACATATGTCTTTGTCATATCTCCGACCTTAGGTTTATCATCTGCGAACATCCGAGCCAGGAATCGGTACCAATTTCTGCTATAAAGTGGTTGATCCGAGGTTTGGTGCTACCCAGTCATATGAAGTCGGCGCGTTTAAGCATTGCTGCGATGGTGATCGTGGGTCGTGAGTCGCTGTGGATACAGACGACAGAAGGATCCGAATGTTTTAAATGCCTGGACTCGATTCTCGTCGATTCAAGGTATCCACTACAGAAATTCTTAGTGGAGTTCAGTGAGCTGAATGAGGATCAGAAGGATGCGAGGAAGTTGGCGGTGATTCAAAACATGCCTCAATTACACAAGAAGGGACTACTAGATATTCGTTTAGGTTGATTCCATGACGCTCTTTACTATTCCTTCTGCGCCCATTCTGTGAGTCATGCTACTATAGGTTATTTACATGAATCAAGGTTTTGGCGCCACTCAATGATGACCAGAAGTTGATACACCACGTTTTCATAGTCTAGTATACAAACCAAAAAGGGTGCATTGACAACGACACCGGGTGTGATAGTCTGGAATCTGGATCTCCTTGACCTGGCTATGAAGAGCGCGCGCACGTTATAGATACATGCATGCTTTGGGTTTCGTGGCTGTCGGACGAATCGCGGACTTTCATGTGCCGTTTAAACCTGGAACTGCATTGTGGATTTCTGGATCGCCAACCACCATGGACTCCGACGGGCCAGCTGTAGCTGAACGTCGAGGTACAGCCGCGTTTGAATAGGGCCATGATGCAATGAGAGACCACCGTATTGATTCGCCGACTTTCCAAATCTCCCGCTTGCGCTAAATGATCCTTCGAGACCGTGCAAAAGGAAGGCGTAGGTACTGTCATCCATGAGGGGATAATGCACGTACTATAGAAGACGGCGTGCTGATTGTAGTCTTCGACGTGAGTCGAAAGCTTGAGATGATTCTCGCACGTTTTTGGACATGTTTCCACTTCCAGATCAATTACAAGGTCCCCGAGAGATGTTTCGAGATAAACCAACATCGAAGTGGGGTCAGATTCCTTGCATTTCATGTCTCTGACTTCATGACATCGACAGAAACTAGAAAGAACAAGCTGAAAAAAATTCCAAGTTCGGCGTGTGGTACTGAAGGCTTGAAGTTGAAGCTTTGCCGGCTGAGCGGCCTATAAGCAAAGTGAGAGTCAATTCTCAAGTGTGCGCACAATAAACAGTCGAGATTTGAATCCGGAACTCGTATTTCTGTATAGTAACTCCGCATGATACCCCTGGATGGGATATCATGGATTCGTACTAGTTGCCCCAAGATTTGATAGATAATTGCAAGTTTCAGCAAGTCCCAGGTATAGATTCAATTCATTTTAGGTGCGAAATGCTGCATGTAAACCACAGAGAATGTACTTTACAAGGGTATAAATAAACCGAACCGCCTCTCTTGGTCTGTCTACTCTAGGACTACAGTGCATCCAATGTGATGACACAGAAGCGCGAGCTTTTCATTACGTGGGGTATGGTTCCCATACCCCAGTCTATATCCAGTGAGATAACTGTTCAACTGGTCATCGTCGAGGTTGCGTATAACCTGGGCCGTGCGCAGCTCCGGTACCTGTACTCCCAAACCGTATCCATTATCTTGAGTCGGATACTTCCCATCCAACGAGAGTACCAATTCATAAGGCATGGAACTGCCGTCGGCGCAGGAACGGTTATGGGCCTGTACAAAAAGTTAGGAAGTCAGTTGGCAGAACGCTCAATGACGAACTCTAGCAGCAAGGACTTCGGTCTTGATGAGACGGTTTTCCATCCTTTGCACTGTATTCGACGACTCTATTAACCTGGCCCCCATAGCGGTGGTCCAAGCAGGTTTGTCATTTGGATAGACCGCTGGATGTCGAGGTCAGAATATCATACATATTGTTAAACTCGTGAGAAAGCGCACCTGCAATGTAAGCATCTAAGATCCTATGCTTGTAAATATGCGCATGGACGACATCTTCATGAGTTGCCGCATTCGAGATTGAACGCTCTATATAGATAGTAAGCTCGGATACCAGCGATATCCATTCGAACTCACGAAGGGAATGTTCCAGGTCTTTGATAAACGTGCTTGCATTGATGATATCCTAAAGAGTGGGAGGCGTGGAAGGCATGAGTGGTCGAGGAACATCCTACGCATGGTGCGGAGGGATAGGTGGAAGGGAAACGGCCATTTGGTTAAGGAAGAGGTGTGATGTGGCTGAAAGTTGAGTTCTTATAGCCAGCTGCATTGTTGGGATCAAATTGCACCCAAATGTCCTGGCCGTCGCCTACACCTCATGTTCTGGATCCCAAAGTTCGCAAATCATTAGAGAAAACATTATCAGAATATTCCCTATTTTTAGGTCAATGAACAACGAAATGTGTTATTTTTGGCCTTCGGATCGAGGTTCGGCATCTAATCGGAGTTCTAAATTCTACGCGCCCCCGGGTCCCAGGCTAATCTCTGCCGGAGACACTCTGCATGCAAGCGGCCTCTCGCACTGCACTCCTCTGTTTTCGTCGCTTTACAACCAGCGCCGCTCTTTTATCCGCAAAACCAACACATTCAGCAAGTGACAGACTCTTTGCAGATGCGGCTCGAGAAGAAACGGTATCGCCCCACCCAAAATCGTCACGACTGACGGCTCTAGAGAATTGAGAGGGTGGCGAAAGTCACGTACTCTCACGAAGGAGTTTCACGCAGTGTGTGACAGGTGTAAAGGCTGGTCGTTGCGAAAAACCCGAGCTACTACAGCGGTACGTAGCTCTTATATACTACTAGCTAATATCAAATAGATCCTATTGAATGCGTCGAGAACGGTGGAGCGTGTGGAGCGACAATGAGGGGGAGAAATGAAGGGTAAGGACCGGGCCAAAGGCCGGCTCGTTACATACGCCCTCCTGTCCAACGAAGTTGGGCACTATAGGTAGAGTAAGAAATAAACGAGTGTAATATCTTTGAATGAAGCAAGGAAAGTTAATGAAAGGATGTATAAAGTAAAAGGACATCACGAAATCAATTGCGGGCGGTCCTCATGGTGGAATCTCCATTCGCGTCCGTTTTGTCGCCCTCCTTATCAACATAGTAGAGCAAACCATCCTTGTCGGTATCAATGCCCTTTCCGTGATCAGGATCCGGGTCTCCATCGGCATCGATGGATCCTGCGCTGCCCTCAATGAACTCGGGGAGATCATCTGAGAGGAATCCCTCCAGCGAGTCTCCTGCAACAGCATAGCGATCCTCGAAATCTTCATCCCACATTAATCCAGCCTTCTTATCAAGACGACGCTGGATAGCTTTTTCCTTGGCAGTCTCATGCTGGAAGAGCATCTGATGGCCGAGGAACCGAGTCTTGTTGTACTCGCGTTCAGGAACAATAACATATCCAGGGATATTGAGCTGGCGAGGGTCGAAAAGGAACTTCATGTCGACGTGAAGCCCTTTGCTGGTAGGAGATGGGGAATTGAGATGTGCGAGGGTGTAGCCCTTAGGTCCGTTAGGATTGGTGGGACTGGGCTTGACCCATTCGACGAATTTTTCGGTCTGAGAACCCGCATTGAACAAGGCAGCGATTGCATCATAAGCGATGGGTTCAGAGCGGATCTGTCTGCACTCCGAAATGCCATCCTTGGCGTGAGTACGTCGGAGAAGGTTGTTGTGCTCAATGCATTTAAGCATGTGCACAGCATGAACCTGAGAAACAAGGCCTCCAAAAGAACCGGAGCCTGGGGCTTCATGAACGTCAAACCATTCGCGATTTTTGTGGACAGTGAATGCCCTTGGTGGGAGCGGAATTGCCGGAGTGGGAGTGGTAGTGAGCAAGGGACGGAGGTAAGCAGGGGGTTTGCGGCCCTTCTTGCCACGGGGTCTACGTTCGCTGGGCATGGACAGTGGGAATGCAGTGGTGATGGTCCTAGAGGGAGAATAATGTAGCGGGAAATGATGGGGAAGCGGGAGCACAGGTGTGGGGGAATTCACACAACTTTGCATACCCTTTTCTATCCTCCTAGGAGACTCAAAATCAAATGTAATGGAGCTCACAGAAATCCCGTACTGTTCTGGATCTGATGGGAGCGGTGAACGCCCCATCGGTAGGTTACCAATGGACACACAACCTAGCAAGTCAAGATAGTCAGCAAGACTGCCAAGCCCGACGAGCTGGTCGTAGGGCATCCACGTAATATCACCAGTAGTCCATTTAACTTCAAATACGGCATGATCTTTAGCGCCGTGATGCGATAGAATCTGTTCAATTTTCCACTGAGGTTCTGCTTCCGGAGTCTCTTGTATTTGAGTATCAAGACGTCCTGGAAATCTGCGATCATCATTAGGAACATGAATCCGAAGCAAGGAGGAGTGGAATACTGGATGTACTCCTCTCTGGATGAAGCTCGAAGGCAGCTCTACATGGAATGAGTGATTTCCGAAGTCCCTTGAAATTTTGTAGGGCCCGATATACTTCGGAATTAATTTGCGAGCTAGACCTTTAGCAAACTTCAAATTCTGGGTGGATACATATACCAGATCACCTTCATGGAAAGGTTCGAAACGTCGTTTCCAATTTGCGATACGAGTTTGCTTTACCCGAGTTTCAAGAATCGCATCGTGAGCTGACATGATAGCTAAACGCCGCAATCGAGCAAATGTTCGGACAGAGGGATACTCATTCTTCGTATTCGAGTTCCATATCATGGATCGGGGTATGTGTCCAGTATTGAGCATGAACGGGGCATATCCTGTTGTCTCAGACCTGGCGCAGTTCATCGCGAACTCAATAGCTGGCAGTTTTGACACCCAATCCTTCTGAGTGGAGTCGACGCATTGCCGTAACATCTGGGTAATGGTACGATTAGCCCGTTCCGTAGAGCCATCACTCTGAGGGTGATACGCACTGGACATATTCAGCTGAGTACCCGTAAGCTCGTGTAGCCTCTTCCAAAAGACGCTAGTGAACAGTGAGTCACGATCACTTATAATCCGTCGTGGCATTCCATGGTGCTTGTAGACATGCTCAAACATCAGTTCAGCCACTTGGCGGGCAGTGTAGGTTGTACGGCAGGGAACAAGATGTACCATTGAGGTAAATAGGTCAATAATAACAGTTATCGAGTCAAATGTACCATCGCGATTTTTAGAATCCGGTAACGGCCCAACAAAGTCAATTCCGATAGCCTCCCAGGGATACGACGGAACCTTGAGAGGGTGCAGCAAGCCGTAAGGCTTCTGGTTGTTAGGCTTGCTCATCTTACAAGTACGACAAGACTCACAATACGATTTCACATCCGAAACCATATCCTTCCACCACACACTCTGGCGAAGGTAATCCAATGTTTTGCTTGCCCCAAGGTGAGCTAGAATTGAATGAGCTTCCGAAATAATGATTTCTTGAGCTGTACGACCGTTTACGAGGATGCGAGGTATGCAGAGAAGTCTATCGTCATCCTTCTTGAGGTACAAAAGGCCTGTATCCTGGTTCCACTCGAAGTTTGCGA